TGCCGTAGCGCAAAGATGTCTGCCTCCATGGCTGCGAGACCCGCTCCTATGTAATTATAAATAACGAATTCTAAGGCAACGCAAATATAAAGGTTAAGAGGCTGAGCTCGTATATGATGATAAAATAACATAGTTATGTATAATATATTACATTTCTGACTGTATATCCCTGTAATTATTACACACTGTAGCTTTAAGACAATTAGAAGTATAAATACTAATTTCAAATGTTTATTAAAACTATTTGATGTAGACTCAAAAAGACACCAAGAATGTTAACAAACTATCATAAAGGGCAAAAGTTCTCTAGATTGAAACTTTTTTTATGTACAAGGTTGCAACACAGACTAAATGTGTTCGTTTTTAAGGACAGCTTCATGTTCATGGAAACCTAAGGAGAGTGACTGATATTTGAAGGATTCAATTTAATTCAAAATATATTATGTATATTATGTATATAGCACATAAATAGTCAACCTTAATTGACCAAACTGATTCACGGGGGTTACTGCATAGCAGATCAGTGAAAGTTATTTGATTATAAAACTGCTCTCTCACCCACCCTTTGTACTCATGGGTGGGGTAGGTGGCTTCTTCATCTCCAGCTTGGGTCCTGGGAGCTTGAGGGTTCTTCGCAGTATCTTAGCTGTCCAAAGGACTGCACATTTCTGGACTGAGATCTGTGCTGTTTCTCCAGCTATCTTTTGGAACTACTTCTCCAATGTAGGGGTTACTGTCCCAAGTGCTTGCATGATCAGTTCTTTAGTGTTGTCCATCAGCCCGGCTCTCTCTAGCCATTGTTAGAATTTGTTCATATCAACCACTTAGGCTATTTGTTGGTGGTAAATCACATGCAAGGTTATCCACCAGTTCCATAGTCTGAGACATTTACTGAGCGCTTCAGCCCATGGGGCCATCTTCCTGATGTATTCTTAGTCCCATACTGGCCCCTAAACACTAACCCTAAACACTAACCCTACGTTTCTGCATTCCCATTGAGGGTCCACCACATTAAGGGCCGTGTCAATTCATGTACGGGTAGGGCAGACAATTCAACCCTTAAATAGCGAGTTTTCATCAGTGCAGGCTCGCTGGAATGTGGCAGCAGCTGTAATGGTGAACTGATGGCAGAGGAATCACATGCATTCAAATGTAAGTTCCGCTGGTTGCCGCATCTTCGTCACATGACATAAAAGCACGTTAGGAAAAAGAAAAAAAAGATGTGACTCATTCCAAAAAGGAAGGCCCTCTTTGAAATAGTTTAAAATGACTGTATGAATTTATTCATAAATGGGAAGTCACTGTGTTGTCATAGTTTTCCTTTTCAGTTAGGGGGAAGAGGCTGTCAATTTCTCCTTATTACCCTCCCACCATCAATCAAGGTTCACTAGACAGCAGCAAGTGGGACTTAATTGGGAGTGACACTCGATAGTTAAAGGGTAGTGCTTAGTGGCTGGTTAGGATGTTTCATCCTTAATGGTGGCTCTAATGCTTACCAGGCCTCCTCCTTCTTTTCTGCGCTTAGTGTATAAATTATCAGTGGCAAGTATTTCATCCTTGGTCAACTTATTACCCAGTAGGGTAACTGGAATAAATAAAATTAATAATTTCTATTCTATTTTATCCTGTGTTGATGGCCAGGCCAAAGATGTAGCTTATCAATCTGGTCTTCAACTGAGTAAGGGTTTAATAACCAAAGGGATACTGTTCCTCGGTCTGGCAGCTGCCACATAGAAGGCTCTGTTGCCCTGTGCTAGCCTGGCTTTAGGGTCAGCCAGCAAGAGCTGGTAGGCTGACCTCGAGGCTCTAGGTGGAGTGTAGGGCTGTAGCAGCTTGTTTAATTAGGATGGGGCCAAAGAGTTTAAATGCTTGAAAGCAATCAATAAAACTTTAAATTTCACCTGAAATTTGACAGGAAGCCAATGAAGGGTGCACAAAACAGGTGATTGATTCAAGCCTCTTTGTTCTGGTCAATAGGCAGGCTGAAGCATATTGGCACACAAGGGAACCTCGCTCTAACTCTATATGTAAAGAATTTCGGTAATCCAAGCTTGGGGTTATAAATGCATGGATTTGGAGATGTATTCACAGACAGTTCAGCAAGGGCATTTTTAATGTACTGAAAGCAAAACACATACGAGGGAGTGTCTTTTTCCCCA